TGGATTCGAACCCGCCACCTTAGGTGTATGTGGCTGGCGCCTTAGCCACTTGAGCCACAGGCGCCGAGCCAGTGGCCTCTGTCTTTACTGCTCCTCCTTAGACTCTAACCTGTGCCCACTGGCCCTACTGCATCCCATGGGGATTTATGGGGGCCTCCATGACCTAAGTAGCCCTCTAATGGTGGCACGGAGGGGTAGGACTCCCTGAACCTTCTTGAAGGAAAGCTTGGCTCAGGAAGAATGGGGTGTTGGAGAGGGCTATTTCTTTGATGTGTCATTGTTCTAGAGGACTGGCCTGGATAGGTGATCTTGGTGCCAGGACCCAAGACCCATGGAGTTAACTCTGTGCTTGGCTGAATATTCTCAGCCCAGCCGTGACCATTTCTTTTCTTTCTTTCTTTTTTTTTTTTTTTGAGACAGAGTCTCACTATGTCACCCTTTGTAGAGTGCTATGGTGTCACAGTTCACAGCAACCTCAAACTCTTGGACTTAAGTGGTTCTCTTGCCTCAGCCTCCCAAGTAGCTGGGACTACAGGCGCCTGCCACAACGCTATATGCTGGTTGTAGTTGTCATTATTGTTTGGCAGGCCCGGGCTGGATTCGAACTCGTCAGCTCTGGTGTATGTGCCTGGTGCCCTAGCTGCTGAGCTACAGGTGCCGAGCCAGCCCTGACCATTTCTAATCCTGGCTAAATACACCTTCCAGTTCCCGGGAACTGTACCTCCTTCAGAGTGTGCCTTCTCTTCCTTTTGCTTTAGTATTTAAATAATTTCTTTGCGCAATTCTACCTTGATTTTCAAGTGTTGTTAAGTTGCTGGGCTTGGGTTCTTCCTTGCACTTAACTAGACTTTTCATTCTTCGAGTAGGTAGTCAGAGGGTGCTGCGTTGTCACCCTTTTCCTGTCCTCTAAGACATGCTTTTTGCCCATGGGGAGAACTCATGGTGATTGTTGATGATGCCGTCTTGTATTCCTAGGCCTTCAGCTGGGATTTGAGGTTGTTCATTAATGGTAATGAATTTATTTTCTCTCTCCTCCACATCTCTCTTCTTCAGGTGTGGAGTGGTATATTCACTTGCAATGATACCCAGGAACAAATTTCTACTCCCCACCCCACTCTGTCTGCCTACTCTCCCCCTGTATCCATCCTCCATGCCCATCGGAAGGGACGCCCAAATACCTTCCTGTTCTAAGAGCTTGTGGACTCTGGTTCACACTTGACATTAAGGAGACAGAGATGAGGTTTTAGGCTTCAGGTTATTTCCTTCTGTCTCTTTCTGGGATACAGGCTATATAGGCCGGAAGCATCACTGGTAATGGTGACACAAACACCAAAGGCTCAGTTAAGGAATTCAAGGGACTGTTTCCCACAAGAATCTGAAAGTATCTCAGCATCTGCCTGTGGGTAATCCAGACTTAACTGCTGCTGATAGTTTTAGGTAATTTTTAGGTAACCCCCTACATGACTCCTCCCTGTTCTGCCTGGAGCTGGAGGAGTTTTTGTTAGCCAAGCATCAGAGATCTCATCTCCCAGGATCTGGACTGCCCCATCTCTCTGCCTTCTCAGCACTTTAGCCCAGTTCATTCTCCCACTGTTGACAAAGACCAGGATACGGACACCTTGCAGTAATTGTGGGACGACTGAGAAAAACTCACCTAAGTTCTGAAAACACTTTACATATTTTGTCTTTCTCTCACCTATCTCCCTTACCGGCCCCCTGGCATGCGAACTACCTGGTGCGCGTCCCCATTGTGCCTAGGAACAAGCTAATTACCACCAACACATCCAACCCAGGCTGAGGGCCTGAGATGAGTTAGATCTCCGAGGAAACCACTGATGGAGGTTGGTGAGAGCGATCTGATACACTCGGAATTCATGGTGATATGACTGGTGACAGCTCCATTGCCTGCTGAAGAAGACCGGGGCAGGAAAGGATGGCCCTTGATGGCAATAAAGCTGTGGTTCTCAGTGGGGCCACTTTTGCCCCCCCCTTCAGAACATATGGCAACAGCTGGTGACACTTTTAGTTGTCACAATTGGAGGAGTGCTGTGGCATCTAGAAAGTAGAGGACTGGGTGCTACTGAACATCCCACCCTGCATAGGCAGCTCCGGCCAGCTTAGAATGCC